TTCCATCCATGCCGTAAGGGCAATGGGTGGTCCTACTTGGCTAGGATGACTAAAGTGATAAGCTTGAAGTTTGTGAGGGGAATATTTAAAATTATCTGCTCTGTACCATGTGGTATCCAGAGGGTGGTCTAACCAGGAGACCTGGTAGAAAACGTTCTTGTATCGCAACTTTGAAGCTAATACTTCCTCCACTTCCCATTCTTCTTCGCCAGTGATATTCACGGGGTGTGGCGGAGGGTTAATTTGTCCTGGGAGTGGGTCTTCCGGTGCGAATCGGAGTTTCTCTGGTGGTAATACGTCGAAAATACGCATTGTATCAGGGAGCGCTAATCGGTAGGATTATCCAATTCTCTCCACAATTTCGTACTTGCCAGTGATAGGGAAGTCGAGCTTGCGGGAAGGACACTGAGTTTTGTAGTATCAGAAGTCTAGCCATACTATATCACCTACTTTGAAGTCGGGTTCGCGGTGGTGTTTGTTGTGTTATTTAGACATCCGATCTTGAGCATATTTTATCTGATTACAGGCGAGTTCCCATACACCATATACACAAGTAGCGAATTCGCAAGCTTCTTGGACGTTGATTTTGTTGGTAGGATCAGAATTATGTTCTTTCCAATCCCAGTTGATGCAAAAAGGGTATCCGTAGAGGACCTCGAAAGGGGTCATCTGACCAAGGGAATCGTGAGGTAGTGTCAATTAGGCGTAGTCCATAAAGGGTAGGAAACAAGATCAATCATCTTGTAGTAGCTTACGTAGGGCCGTAGGCATTGTTGAAGGTACTGGTTATATATTTTTGTTTGATTGTCGGTTTGAGGGTGATCAGTAGAAGAATGAACCAAAGTAATACCAAGGATGGTTGATAGCTTTTCCAGAATCTATTCATGAATTGAGTACCTCTATCTGAGAATATTAAGGATGGGGGACCATAGTAGCGGTAGATATGGTACATGAATAGCTTGGCGAACTCTTTTTCACCACATTCCTTGGTACAGGGAATAGAAATGGCTTGTTTGGTGAGTCTGTCGATGACGACTAATATTGTCGTATCCATATTTATCTTTGTTGAAGCTACAGAAATCCATGGTAATGTGTTGCCGGAGGCGTTGCAGAATGCTAAGGGGTTTCAAGAGTCCTGCTTTCTTATCACGGGAGACCTTGGAACGGCGGTATATCTCGTGGTTGCGGATGTACATCCGCAAAATATTTTGAGCCCCGAAAAGTCTCGGAATAAACAAACTCCGCGGCCGGCACCGAATTGGCATCCCATATAAGTTCTATTGGTACCGATTTGTAAGCGATCGGCACCAATAGAACTTATATGGAGTGCCGAAACGACGCCAATTGGCGCCAGAGGCAACTGATGATATCTTTTGTCACTTTACATAACGTCGGTATATTTATATAACAGCTGCCAAAATATGTTAGCCTTCGATATCGATGATAAGAATGATACAATAGGCAGCCAATTACGATTACAGTATAATCCTATAATGATAGAGTCTCAATTGATAATAGGCAGTAAGGACGATAAGTATAGTAAGGATGGTAAGCATGACAAGGGTGGTAAGGCCGGTAAGGTGGCGGTAAGGATGGTAAAAATGGTAAGCATGGTAAAGATAGTGAGGATGGTAAGGATGGTAGGCACAGTTGGTAAGGAAAGGATAAAAGTGAGTCACTGGAACTGAAGACATCATGATAGTAGGCAAGCTGGCAAGACTTAGTACTAGCCCGGAGAGAACTGAAATATTAATTTATTTGATATTAATAATACTACTTTCTTTTAGCTTTATGACTTGGATGCTTCAAGTTGGCACCACTACCTCTAGCCTTCTTCGGTTGGTGTTGTGCTTCTGAGTCCTTCAAGTTGGCATCTTGCGCCTGTTGAGTCCTGAAAAGCTTTTGCTCTTTTACCATTTCTTTCTCAAACTTTGCAGCTTCCCTAGTTCCCAAGGATAGAAAGTCAGGATGGTAATGTTCTTGATACTGGTCCCAATCGATGAAATTGTTCACCAAAAACTTTCTATTTGAGTAGATACACTCTCAAAGGTTGCAGGGATTATATGAGCGCTTCGTGAGATTGTTGTTAGAGGGTAGATCCGACGACTTCCAAGCTTTCGAGGATTGGCTGCTGTTCAGTTATTGTATGTTGTAAATTCCCTCATGCCATTAACTGGATTTGGTGTTCCATCACCTACTGGGACCAATACATCGACCAATGCTCCAGTATAGACTAAACACTCTTCCGAAATATCATATATTTTCATGATAATCAAGAGTTTGGCTACTCGTTGACCTTTTAAAGGATCATTTAGCCTCTTGTTATACTCTGAGAGGCTCTCATCACTTGAAGATTGCCTCCGCGGTGGATATTCATACTCTTGTACCCAACAAAAGTCATGACGGTGACCAACGCCCCTCCAGGAAGGTACGCAACGAAGCATCTCTTCAATTTTGATATCCGGATCCAAATAATCCTTCCCACTCCGCTTCCAGCATGTCAATGCTCCATGAAATTGAATCGGGAAATCTTTCACCCACGAAATATCTCGATCTCGATCATCAAACTGCTCAAAGTTATACTGTGTAGTACCTGCCATTCGCGAGTCATCAAAACTACCTTTATTTCGCATTTGGCAAATATATGTTGCGATTGCAGCTGCAAAATCGGGGAGCTTCAGTTCTGCTTCAGCTATAGCTACAGTAGTCGTATTCCTTGTATGTAGATATGTAGTATGGCCCTGCATATTGAACGTTGATGGAAGTAATGAGGGAATCTGAAGTTCCTCAAGAAGAAGCGGGGCTATCGTCATTCGAGCTGTTTGACATTTCTCTGATTCTGGGTTAAGATTGATCGTAGTGCACTGAGCATGCAAGATAACATCCTCCATCGCTTGAAAGTTTGTTAGGCGTGTATTATGCTTTGCAATCTGGTGTAGATATGTTGTTCCTTTGTTTGTTCGATGGAAAAAACCTTTACTAAATATTTATGAGCAGCTTCCACCATTTCAGTGTTGAGTCCCTCTAAAGCACCAAATTGCTGAATGCAATCCACATAATGCACCAGAACATGAAACTTCGGATAATTCCAATGTGGCAAGTGATTCTTATCCTTCGGTCGATACTTTCGGAAAGCATATTTTGTTTTATCGATCCGATCTAAAGCATGAGCTAAGTATTGAAGAGTATCGGTGTCGAATAACCGGGCGAAGATCTGGGTTGCGAAATCTACAACAGCTTTAGTATACACTAAGGCAGCTGGTGCAACCTTTTCCAATAAGGGTGTTACAACAGGTAGAAGTATCCGTATGATATCTTTCTCTTCTCCCCCGGTCCATTGTACAACCTGGCTAAAGCATGAGAAATGCTTAAGACCAGTGAACTGAGGAACTTGCCGAAACCTAGCATCGAGATTTTCGACTCCAACACTATCTTCAAATGATGGAATGCTTGAATGCTTGATTCTTTGTTGTCTTTCCTTCAATATAGGGATGCAAAGACTCTCACCTGTACGTGGTGCATCCTACGAACCTTCGATCTAGTTTACTAGTGTTCGGAGAGCTAAGTAGAGTCGCTGGAGCTGGGTGGTAGTCGTACACTAATCGGAGGCGATACTAGGTGTAAAGGTATTCGCAGCTAAGCGTTGTGTAGGCACTCGCGACAAGCCCGGAACAGAGGACTACCAGCGAAATGGAGATGAAAACCATCCGACGATCGAAGCTACAACCAACGAGTTCAAAGTGATGCCGGCCCTTACGAGTCTGTCGTGGGGAGTAGAGCCTAACAGGGAACTCATTGCGAGCCCCCTGAAACGGAACCAGCCCTTACAAGTCTGCAGTGGGATGTAAAGCCTACGAATGAAGCAGTTATATCAGAAGTCGACAGGACATCTCTGGAACATCGCGAATTGAGTTGGAATCTTACAACGAGTACGATATGCGGGTATACCATGGGAGTAGTGGAAAGTGTCTATGTAGGGCTAGCAGAGGATATAGAAAAACGAAAAGCGACTGCAAAGGGTCCACGGGAGCGGAGGGAATGTTGTGTATACTGAAGGAATAATGTGAAGGTTTCTACAGATTTCAGAGAAGTGCCCCATAAAGACAGGCCTGATGACGATATACAGGATTACGACTTCCTATGCTTTTCGACTTCGATCCGATATATCTTAAGCGTTCCGCTTCAGTCTTCTAGACAGCTATAAACTATACATTGGGAGGAAGATGATACTAGAAAGTTTTGGTTGATGGATTGGAAATACTATGATTATGCTGTTTAGTTAAGAGTGTGAGCGCAGCAAGCCTGTAAGACATGGTCGACCTTGTGAAAAGGAGAGATCCGGCAAGGTAATGCGAAACGGCATTCATATGCTGCGGGGTGTAGTATACAATGGCAGTGACAGCGACACTGTCTGTATAGCTCAAAAGAACAGATGCGTGTGCCGGTTTACAATAGGGCATTAGACAGTTGGCAATGAAATGCCGGGTAGGCTTAAGGAGCAGACAAGTAGGGAGGCATGGGGGGGAAGCTTTGGTCCAAGTAGAACGTCCGAAGAAAAAGTATATCGAAACCTTTTGGGGAAGTATGGGTAGGGTTTGCCATCCTATCATTGATTATAACTATTTTAGAAAACATAGTCTAGATAGCTGGAATCAATTCTTTATTTGCTATGTTAGGACACCCTCATCATCCAAGAGATCAGAGTGGGATGGGTAAATGTAAGGAAAATACTGGATGCACATATGGTGATTCTGCAACAGGTATACGACAATAACTTAGAGGTCCTATGCATACAGGAACCAGGGGTTCGCTTGATAATCGATGTCGTCACGAATCTCGACTACCCAGCACGAACCCTCATAGGAGGTGACTTCAATGCAAAGCATAACATGTTCGAACCTGGAATCAACACCGCGGATCAAGGCCACCTCTTCGCAGAGTGGGCTACATAGGGGAACCGGGAGTCCCCACCCACAACACTGGTCACACCATCGACCTGACTTTCTCGAACATAGCCTTCGCGGAAACCACGGTACACCCTGGACTTCACTGCGGATCAGATTATGAGACTCAGGTCACAGTAATACTAGGGAGAGGTACGGAAGCCAATAAACCTGACAAAATCACAGTAAACGACGAAGAGATCCCCCTCTTCGTGGAACTAGTACAAAACGCTGCACCTCTCCTTCTTAATTTATGCCTTAATAGTCAGAACGATCTGGATACATTCGTGAGATATATATACAAGATACTAAAGGAATCCATAAAGACTGCAGGAAAGCTATACAATACGAGGGGAACCGCAGCCCCCTGGTGAATGGATACATGCAAAATAGCATTCGCTATATACAAACGAAAACACCGAACAGACTCCAGTGAAATTGAGGATACCAGGCGCACGCTTTTAACCACAGTACGCAAGTCCAAGAAAGCATACTGGCAAAAGATCATTAATGAGGTCGAAAGCGGTAAAGACCTGTACAAGCTAGGACCCAACCTGAAAGCCCCATTACTAATCGTGAATAGTATACCCATATAAAATACTATAGAGAAAGCAAAGGCTCTATAACAGGAGTTACTCAATCGGTTTGATAGCACAGATGATCTACCGATGGACCCTCTACATGACCTACCCCGACAACTCTCTCAAAGTTATACCTACCCTCAGTGTTTAGACGAATAGTTACTTTATCCCCCTTTTGACCATAACTATCTTTCAGTGACGCTACAATTAAATGATTGTTATACAATATATGGTTATGCCGAAGACTTTCCTATAATTTCATACCCAAACACAATATTCCGAAGAAAAATTTCTGATCGCCAGAAGTTGAAATTCGGTCTGAATTCAAGCTCTACAGAATCACAACAATACAAACAATACATATCATTCTATACAAGACAAAATGGCGTTTCATACAGCACCGCCAGAGGTCGTTAACCTGGAAAACGCGGATTTCACTAATCCGTGGGATCCAGAAACACTATCCAATCTAAGAAATCGCTTTAAAAGAAGGCAGTGTACCTTTATCAACAAGGTACCACCAGTCCTTAAACTGGGAAACAAAGCGAACAATAACAACACTAGCCCAACGATGGAAGCCTTCAAGACCAAATTCGCTGAGTATGAATACACTGAAAGGATTCAGCGAAAGGTCATGACTAGTCTGGTAGAGACAATTGACAGATACATCAACTTCTTCGCTGTGGGGGACAAACGAATGGCTGCCAGGAAACTGAGCACTAGAGTTATTGAAATCCTTATACTCTCTATCAACAATGGATCTGACCGAGTGTCGAGCTCATTGTATATACCACCGGCGATAAGAAGCGCAACTTCTTTGAAAACACAAACCACTACTAAAACCTATGTGGGGATCCTCAAGACCCCCAAAACAAGTCAGAACGGGGCAGGCCGAGAAAACCCACTTATACTCCAAAAGGTCCCACCAAAGGTCTCACACGACAATGCGCAAGCCAAACAACGGGTGACACAAACTGCCCGGAGTACAGACCACAAACTATTAATAGCTATCAGTCCTGCAGCCCGGATCAGTAGGCCAGCCCTGTATACACTAAGAAGCACTTTCGTTGGGGCAATCACAGGTCTGATATTGGCAGATGTCCCTACTATATCTATTACCAAAACAGGGTGGGCTATTATGCCAAAGAATCCGGTTACCCAAGTATTACTTTTTATACAAAAGAACAAAAAGATCATCCTCAGAATTAGCTAAGGCATGTAAATGCACCAATCAATAACTTAATTCAACTACGCAGTCCCTGGGGTCCCAGCATCGATCCGTATGATAGCAGGACTCCCAGCCGACACAACGAATCACATAGAAGTGGAGGTATAGGCATAGACGGGCCAAACCCCAATCAACTGCAGACCCTCACATCACAGGGCCAACCCCTATAATGGCACAATCATATGGGTAATATCCTTCCTAGAATCAGTCCGCGGGTTCAGATTCTTTAATGCTAGTGAACTAGTACAAGAAATCAAGGCAAAACCTACGATAACCCGATACGACACTGGATGCCAGGGTTGGTGCAATTTAGTAAGATGTACTAGGCTCATCCACTATACAAACTGTGGTGTACGAAAAAACACACATGAGAACTCATAAGGACCCAATTGTACAGCAAAAACACGATGTGCTAACTACTTCGGACCCTTCGCGGCAGGATACCAGAACTGTCCAGCGACACCTAAGGTAGTGGATGGCAAGGTTATAATGTCTACCAAACCACAACTTAAGGTTATACAAAAACCGGCTTTAACTATAGAAACAGCAATGCTCGCTAACCAGAAGCCCAAGGATAATCCCAAGGAGGGGCCTGTACCAGATGCACCTACCCCCACATCCACCCCCACATCAGTACCCAAACACCGGGGAGGGCAGATCACTGTTTATGAAAACATCGGAGACAATCTAATGAAAACACAGCTCAGGAGAGGCACAGCAACAACAAGCCGATCGGGACGAAAACCCTTGTTGAAATCAAAACTTAACGAGGAAGCCCTAGCTGGTACCCAGCAGAACACCGAAATGGGGGAGGACCCCCAACCCAATGTATATGAGTAAACACTCAATGCGTCAGAATGATGTGTGTAGTCATCAGTAGCCCAGGATACGGAATCTAACGGTTTACTAGGCGAATGTGGGCAGAATATCAGAGGCCTATGACATTATATTATAAATGGTATTTGAAGACAAAACAGATGTCCTGTGCGTGCAGGAACGTTTTATATTCCTGCTTACAAAAACCAAAACACACCCCAAATAGACCCTATATGCGTTAGTAGACTTATGGACAGGAATATCCCCCAAACAAAAAGAAACAGAAAGACCCTGAGTACTGACATACATCAGGAAAAGAGCGAAACTGTGAACCCAACAGAGACAGCTAATCAAAAGCTGTGATATACTCTGGATAGATGTAAACGGGTACCCTATACTGAATATATATCGATAACCACAAACAGAACAGGTGTTATTGTACATTACCGAATTATAACCGCCTTTAGGATATCTCATTGAAAATAACTTCAACGCTATACACGAAACATGGCAATCTAAATCGGAGAATTACTGAGGAGGGAATGAACTAGCAGCCTGGGCAGACCTGGCCAAACTAGAATATATTGGAGAAAGAGGAGCACCTATTCACACAGGAGGAAATATGTTTGATCTCATATTCTCCAATATTCCCTTTGCAAAAACCAGGGTCTGGCACAACCTGCATAGCGGATCGGACTATCACACCCTGGTAACAACAATACCTGGTAAAGAAACCAAGCCTCCAAATCAGCACAACATCTGTGTCCCGGAAACGGAACTACCGTGACTAACGGGGCTAGTAGCGAACAGAGTGGTATACCTGCCTACAAATGACACCCTCGACACTCCAAAAAGAATAAATAACTTCACTAATCAACTCACGCAAATCATCAAGCAAGCAATGATTGCGGTAAGAATCACAGATAAAGGAAAAGGTAAGGCAGCACTCTGGTGAACAGCGGAATACAAAAGGGTATATACTAAGCACCTGAGTAGACAAGCTACACCAGGGAGCCCCCCCACCACGGCAACGAAAGACTTCAAAACGATGGTCAGAGCGGCCAAATACGACTACTGGAGACACGTCATAGACAACATCTCCAGCGACAAAGATCTGTACAAGATAGTCGGCTGGCACAAGCTAGCCCCAAACCTCAAAAGCCCTCCAATCACTTCAAACGGAGTAGTGATAGAAGACTCGATGGAAAAAGCCGAAGTACTCAGGACT